TCTAGTGCCCTCTGTTGGTAGCAACAGCAATATGCACTACCTGAATTGCAAGACTGGTTCATTTGCATATTCGGGTAGATTTGCATATTGCTAATTCTGCAGGCAGGTGAGATATTTACTGTTAAATATTGTCTCCCCCCACCCCTTTAAAAATGTGCCATTGTGTTGTGATAAGTCACTGTGTGTTTCTTGATATGGTTTGACTGTTTGTGATTTTATTGAGGTTTCACAACAATGTTATTGTGGTGACTGTATTGGCTGGTCCCAAGGGAATAAAGGTTTTGACAGTTCTTCTTGATCCCTCTAAACGTAGCCTTGTCTCGTTATTGGAGGGAGCTGTTATAATCACACTGGGGATTGCTATGCTCTGCATGCTCCCCTGAGCTTGAATCACTTAGCTCTTTTAAGAGCTTGTTCCTGACACGCTCTCCTTGGAGGAGGGGTCTTCACCACACAGTCCTGGATGCTGGAGGTTCATACAGGGTGGAAGGAAGAGTTCTTTCCCACACAGTCCTGGAGGACAGAAGCTGATCCAGGGTGGAAGGAAGACGGCGAGACTCCAGTCAAGATACGGCGGTTGCAGAGTCTGCGGTGGTTGTGGTGTCTGCTGCAGTGCTTGGAGTCCTCAGGAAGCGCTAGGAGCATCCATCAACGGAGGGTACTCGGTCGGAGTACAGGGAGCTCCGTTACAATATATATAAATTGTGTTTTGTGATAAAGTAGTGAGGATTGTGGGGGAGACACAAGAATGTAGCTCAGTGTTGATTTACGGAGGTTAAGTAAGTGAATCTGATACAAGAATAGAGGAATATTTGGACGTGTTAAGTGTAAAGGCAAGCGTGATTTGTTGCAAAACTATGCAATGTGGATAGAGGGAATATGCAAAGTTGTTTAGTATGTGAAGAGGAAAGTGATTAATGGTTAAAGGATGATAAGGGAAATTGGTTGAATTCCGTGAGTTTATTTTGCATCATTTTATTATTTTAAAGTTATTTTAAAGTACATGTTTCTATGGACAGCTGTATGGGCTGTTAAATGCATAATGTTTTCAACTGTCTTATTTAACCTGCCAGGTCTGTTCATAGTTTAGTATTTCATTTTGCAGAACAATGTTGCTTCTCTGACTTATTTTATTAGTTATAATATAGTGTATTGTTGAAAGTGCGTCAGCCACCACCCTAAAGATGGCGCCTAGTACAGAAGGAGATTGACCCTGCCAGTCCCGTGACCTATCTACAGTCACGGTTGCTTCTAAAGTGACGTCACTTCCGCCCTTACCATGCCCACACCTCCTGTCTTCCTTTCCCACACATATCATGGACGTCACCCCTCTCACTTCCTCCCTTGCTGTCATTTCCTTCCCCGCCCCTGTCATGGCTGCCTCCATCGTGAGGCCTACCCCTATTATGCTCGTCCTATTTAGAGACATGTTGTTTTCCTTACACTCTACATATTATGAACAGGAACATTATAATTACTAAAACAATCATGCCATTTGTTTCCCTGTATCAGAAATTTGTCCGTGATAAAAAAAAAAAAAAAAGAAGGTTGCTAGATCTCATTTGCAACTGTGGTGTGACCTACAAATGAGATCTGTTGGACACGAATATAAGAGCATAACAGCTGATTATCCAGGATTAGTCTTGCAACAAGGGAAATAGCCGAATAATGCAAGTTATTTTAAACATTGTATCTTTACTTAATCGAATCTTGCTAGTTACAGATCGTAGGTTTACAGTAACATCCTTTACTTTAAATGATGGTTTAGCATTAGAAGGGTTTGTGACATGTTTTATTAACCCAGCCACTACTGGTTATTCATTTTAGTTGCAGGGTGGTATAATTGTTGTGGTCTAATTAATATAAATGATAGTACCGCAGTAGTTAATGTTTTATCCAAAGACATTTAGGAACTTTACTTCACTTACTATTAACCATTATTTATAATGATAGAACCCACTGATGCTTAATGCCCCTGCCATGGCAGTGTCTACAGGGAACAAGGGGGGCCACTAGCCACTGTAACTTTACCTATTGAAGGTCACCCTACTACTTTCCTGGTTGACACAGGTGCAGCCCGCAGTGTTCTTAGAGAACAAGACCTGCCTGACTCATCGTTCCTGTCTGACACCGATGTCTCTTGTGTTGGTGTTGATGGTATTTCCCGCAGTAACCTGTCCATGTCCCATTAACCTCTTGGGTGCTGATGTCCTATCCCGCCTCCAAGCATCCATGACCCTCACTGCAGACGGCCAGGTTCAATTAAATACACCTTTGTCACGAAAAGACACTGCAGTTCTTTGTTCCCTTCCCATTTTACTTGGAGATGACATCCCCACGACAGAAAAATGTTCTTTGGACCTCCTTTGTTATCTTGCAGATCAGGGGTGTAAGGCATCTCTTGTCAAACTTCAATTTTGCCAGGCCACAGTAATCTTTCTAGGCCATTGCCTGTCCCATGGCACCAGACACCTCACCTGTAATCGTGGCCATTCCGCCTCCAAAAACTCCTAACTCCCTCCACGCCTTTCTAGGCCTCATTTCTTACTGCCGAGCGTGGATCCCAGAGGCCTCTCTACTCTGTCTGTCCTCAGAAGCACATGACAACTTCTACACTCTCCAACGTGCTAGTGCCTCTGCTCCCGCCCTTGGCTTGCCAAACTACACCAAACCATACAAATTATTTGTGTCTGAAAGACAAGGCCACGCTACAGGAGTCCTTACTCAAGCCCATGGACCTGGCGGCCGCCAAAGGCCTATTGGCTTCTTCTCTTGCCAACTGGACATTGTGGCTAGAGGAACCCCCTCTTGCCTCTGAGCTGTTTTTGCCGCTCAGGAACTCATCAACCGCACTGGGGACTTGTCCTTGGCCACCCCCTGGTTGTCTTGGCCCCTCATGACATTTCTGCCATAGTCAACCAGGTCCAACTTAAGCATGTTACTCCTGCTAGGCATCTTCGCCTTCAATGTCATCTTTTGTTGCCTGACAACATTACCCTTCAAAGATGTCAAGTTCTCAATCCGTCCACTCTTCTGCCACTCCCTGAGGGGGGTGTATACTACGGATTCATCATGGACGAAACTTATGTTTTTCTTCTCACTGGCACCATCAAGAAGGAAATGCATCCCAACCTATCCTTTCATGATGGACAAGCACTCCTTCATGACGGAGCAGGATATGCCTTCTGTACCATGTGGTACAAACCAAACATCACTCCTGAACCCTGCTATGAAGATGAACTCTATCATCTGGTCGAAGTAAAACTCACTGCACAAGACTTCTACTGTGATTCTGAAGGCAACAGTATGGTCTTGATTCATCTACCTCCGGAACTCAAGTATTTGTACCGTCATTGGGACACTGCCATTCCACATGTCCCTGTGACCAAGTTGAAAACAATATCATGGAATGATCTTGGGCCTATGGCAAAAGCATGGGCCACTATGGACGAATCACAGCTACAGGAAAATGGTGTTGTCAAATATCCAACAACTGACCACCTAAAAGCATGGCCACGTCATTTCCTGGAAAATGAGTTCCAAGATTTAACCATAGTGAATGACTACGACCCAAATACACCTCATGACTGTTTTGAACAGATGAAAATGGAAACAACACATCTACCAACTGTGCATGAAGACCCATTGGTAGATCCCGATCTCACCCTGTTTGTGGACGGCTCAAGATATGCTGATGAAGAAGGAAGATACCATACAGGATATGCCGTAACCACAACAGATGAAATTGTCAAATCATCATCTTTACCATCAACTATGTCTGCACAAGAAGCTGAATTGCAAGCCCTGACTTCAGCATGCAAGATCTCTGAAGGAAAGCGCGCCAATATCTACACGGATTCAAGATATGCACTGGGCGTGGCTCACGACTTCGGATTAATTTGGAAAACAAGAGGATTTCTTACCACCGCCGGTACACCAATCAAGCACGGTTCCGCAATCAAGGATCTGATGGACGCCCTCCTACTCCCAGAAGAAGTGGCTATTTTGAAGATAAAAGCACATGGGAAGTTGGACTCAGATGAAGCAAAGGGCAACCATCTAGCTGATCAGGCTGCAAAACAAGCTGCAAGAGAACTACAGGAAGTGGACAGAAGTGTGTCCGGAAACGAAGAAACTCCCACATTTACCTTGCAGACACTTCCAACTGATCTAAAAACCCTACGGGAACAACAGGCTGCAGTTGCTCCTGAAGAAATACAAAAATGGAAACAGAAAGGGGCAGTTCTGAAGGATGGAGTGTACTCCAACAACCTCAAGTTCTGCCTCCCTAAGAATTTGTACCCAGCAGTCGTACAATGGGCACACGGACCTGCACATTTATCAAAGGTTCTAATGAATGCTCTTGTACAAAAATACTACCTCACTGCCCCCATATGAGATTCTATTTGGGACTGCACCTAGGCTAGGTTGCTATTTTCCCCAACAACTACAACTTCAAACTGATGTTTTAGTAGATTATGTAACTGAACTCGCAAATGCTTTAAACACAATCCATGCCCAAGTTTTCTCTTCAATTCCAGATCCTGATTCTGATACGGGCAACCACAGTCTGCTCCCTGGTGATTGAGTCCTAGTCAAGAAATTTGTGCGGAAACACACCCTGGAACCAAGATTTGACGGACCATTCCAAGTTCTACTGATCACCTCCACCTCATTCAAGTTGTCTGGGAAAAGCAACTGGATACACGCTTCCCATTGCAAGAAGACACCTGCCCCAGAGGAAGCTAACTCTATGCAACCATGTGCCTCTGGTACATTATCTCCTTAGTTGGCCTCCTTAAAGCCCAGCAGGTGGCCATCAAGATGCTAGTGGGTACACTTTCTGATATAATTCATCATGTACCCATGTGGCTACATTCACTTTTGATTACTGTGATATTGTAGAATGCCCATTCCCTAAGTCACAGATTCAAGCCATTTATAAAGAAATACCACAAGCAAAAGACCATTACGTTTGTGTAGTAGATGAACAATGGGGTTATGACTGTAACTACTGGGGGACTGCGGGATGGAATACTGGGCCTGCCTGGGGTTATAAACCCAAAAGTGCTCTATCTAAGATAGACAATCAGGGTAGATCCCTCCTTCAAAGAATGACTTTGAGAAAGCCTGGAGGAAGTACCCCTATGAAATTAATGTTAAATATTGAACATTCTGGCCCCGAGGATGCAGACCGATATGTAATGGGAATGTATTGGAAGAAAGGTTCCTACAACAAATTAGGTAATTTCTACCTCAGAGATATGTACCACTCTCCAGAGTGGCAAGGGGCTGATCATATGGTCCCAAATCCGCTAAAACCACATATCCAGTCCTTTAAAGATATGATGGCCATCGCTAACCCCACTTTTGAAGATACCATGGCCGCTGAAACTGGATTCAATGACATTAATTTGTGGTTAGAATGGATGAGGTATAATGCCAACAAACATAAAAAAACAGCATGTTATGTATGTGGCGGTGCCCGACCCCACCTTGGCACCGTCCCCCTAATTCTCCCTTTAGAGATAGAAGATTGCTTCTTGAGCCTTTTTGCCTACCAATATGACTTTAATAGGTCCCTCTGCATGGCATGGACGGCAGAATACCCTCTCTTAGTTGAAAATGTTAAGCCACCAGATGGAATCACAGTCTATAGAGGTAATTACACTTGTTATGCCATGTATGACGGGATTGGTAAATTCATGGGTAATTTTTCTAAAGGTTATTGTGCCACTTACAGAACTGTCCCCATACGTCTGTTACAACACCATACCAGGTCATTGGGGGATATTTACTGGTTATGTGGGGATCTACAGTTAAGATCTAGGCTGGAAACTGAGTGGTGGGGTGAGTGTACCCTAGCCAAAGTTATCATGCCCATTCATATTATTTCTGATAATCATCATGACACATACGACCCTCCACATACACCAGCCAGAGTGAGGCGCGAAACCCCAGTAAAAGGCAGTTTTGACCCCCACATTTACATAGATGCCATTGGGGTACCTAGGGGGGTGCCTAATGAATTTAAAGCTAGAGATGAAGTAGCTGAAGGTTTTGAATCACTGTTCACTATAGTCACTGCCAACAAAAACCTTAATTGGATTAATTATATCTATTACAACCAACAGCGCTTCGTGAACTACACCAGGGATGCCCTTCAGGGCTTGGCCGAGCAATTACAGGCCACATCCCAAATGACCTTCCAGAACAGACTGGCCTTAGACATGATCTTAGCCGAAAAAGGGGGGGTCTGTAAAATACTACCCGACACTATGACTTGTTGCACTTACATTCCAGAAAACACAGGTCCTAATGGGAAAGTCACTCTGGCCATAGCTAAATTAAATAGACTCTCAGAAGAGTTAAAGAGAAACTCTGGAGTTACTGATCCCTGGGAAAAATGGTTTGGTTGGATGACTGGTTGGCAGAGAGCTTTAGTCCAGATTGGTATTGCCTTACTAATTTTTCTTTTTATTCTCGCTCTTCTCATTTGTTGTGTCCTCCCATGCCTAAGGAAATTCCTGCAGAAAACTGTAGACCAAGCAACACCAACCTTCACTCATCTGACAATCGATGATCAAGATCTCACCTCACCCTGTATTCCGCTACAAACTCTCCCCTATACTGATGAAGTGCAGAAAGTCTAGGAAGGGACAGTACAGGGACAGCGTCCGTCTTTATGGGTAGACTGCCGTACGGAGAAGTAGTGGATAAGCCACTATGGGTTACCAGCGGAGTGAAGAGTGTTCCTGAACCGTACTGACGGATGTGCTGCAGCCTGTTAGGGTCAAGAGAGGGATAGACTTGCACTTTGCATTAACACTAAGTCAGCGGTCATGGGGTTTCTGTGTCTTTGGGCTAACACATCTTCTGATACTAACAAATAAAGTTTTGTCTTTTAGCAAATAACATTTTAAGGGGGGACTGTTGTAGAATTATTAGGCCTCTATAAATCTGTAAGGCCCCTTTAAATCCTCTTGCTATACCTCTAAGAGGCCCCCATAGTTTTACAAGAAAGCTTTGTCTATAGAACATAGAATTTGCATGTCAGCAAGAAATAGCTTTGATAAAATGTGTATTTACTAAAAGCCTTGAAACCTAACCTTGAGAAACTAACAGTGCCAGGCTACACTCTAAATGGATAGCTGCCAAAAGGCCCCTCCCGTCGAGTGAGCTCCTCATGTTATCAAAATGGCGCTAAAACCTGGAGGAGACAATCATGAGGAGGATAGTGACATAAGATGGTACACCCCCGTAGGGAGGGCATTTTACTAACTACTTAGCACCTAAGCCAATTAACAATGTCTATTTGTCTATATCTTGATTTTCTTCAATGATGTAATAATGCCTTTAAAAGGGCCTGCGAGCCTGCTTTTTATTCAGAAGCCATTAAACTTCTCCGAAGTTCTTCCATTAACCTGAACTCTGTGTCTCAGTGTGAATTTACTTTTGCGTGCACGCAACTTTATTATCTTTAATTTGGACAGGAACAGATAGTCATTCAAACTAATTGGTTTGCAGTAAATCAACTACAACATATGTATGTATGCCAGTGTGTGTCAGGCTGTATGTATGCCAGTATGTATGTATGCCAGTATGTATGTATGTATGCCAGTGTGTGTCTTTCTGTATGTATGCCAGTATTTATGTATGTATGCCAGTGTGTGTCTGTCTGTATGTATGCCAGTGTGTGTCTGTCTGTATGTATGCCAGTATGTATGTATGTCAGTGTGTGTCTGTATGTATGTCAGCAGGTATGTATGTATGCCAGTGTGTCTGTCTGTATGTATGCCAGCGTGTGTCTGTTGTATGCAGTATGTGTATGTATGTATGCTTGTCAGTATGTGTATGTATGTATGCTTGTCAGTATGTATGTCTGCATGTATATGTGTGTGTGTGTGTGTGTCAGTATCTCCCTATGCATGTGTGTATGTCTGTTTCAGTATTTGTATCTGTTAGTGTGTGTGTATTTCTGTGGGCGGGCTTTGGAGGCGGGCCCTGTGTGCGGGCTTGAAGGGGGGCCCAGACCTTGAGCTGTGTTAGGGGCCCCAAAATTTCTGATGGTGGCACTGACAGGTAGGCCTGTAAATGAAGAATGGAATAAAGAAATTAAATAAGGGGTGAGGAGGATGGGATGACCTTGAACGGAACGGCCTAGGTAAGAAGGCTGATAGGGTTTTTATAGGATAACCACCTTCCACAAATTAAGTTATTTGGCCTTAAACATATAAAAAATAAGTGGCAAACAAGAAAAGACTAAACTTTCTAGTAGTTAAAAATTTACTTTTAATATATTAAAGATTAAGAAGGGCTAGAGAGATAGCTCTAAAAAATATAACACTACATTAACCAAAACAGAGAAGAAGGGGGAGACATATAGGGTACAGAGATAATATATACAATAAAATAAGACTAGTATAGTCTCAGCTAGACTAATAGATGGAAACAGAGGTTTAACTCTTTTTATCCTGCTGCAAAGTGTGCTCTTGCTGCTAAAATTGATAATGAAACATTGTTACTGTTTCACTGAGACCTTAATCGTGAAAAGTATCGAATTAGTCCGGCTATCAGAAAGACTGAGATGACAGATTATAAAGGATAGCAGTAGCTAGATAAAGAATTCGCAGAGTGAATTGAATAGAGTGATATAAAACTAATACTAGCGAGTCTTAGAATTTAAGCAAAGCCAGAGCACAGTTGTGCAGGCATCTAAATAGCGTAACTGTCCTAATATATAATAATGATCTGACTGAGACAATAGTCAATGCAAGGTTAGTGCAGAGCCTGACACGATCTAATGCCAAAACGGCACTTAATGTCTAAACAGTGCCTTTAAGGTGCATCACAGTCTGCTGCCAGACCTGAACACATAACCGGAGAAATAATAAGAAAATAATAACCCAGGGTAAAAAAGATAATAAAGTGAAGACGGCAAAAAATAGCCCTGTCAGAGTAATTTGCTGATCTGCCCTGGACTAAAAAGACTAATGTAGCTCGTAATAAATATCTGACTAGGCTAGGTTTAAGGAAGGAATATCCATCTTTCTCTATCTATGGCTGAGCTGATAGTGCTGCCAGAGCCTAAGTCTCTAATAGCTGATTTGCAAATTGCTAAGCTTACTGAAGCTGCACA